GTACTGAAAAGTCCATGGAAAAGCTTCAGGCACAGCTTCATTGGGGTTCACACGTCACAGGATCCATCCCTGTGCCAGCAACTCCAGATTCCGCTTCCTGTTTCGGGTTCTGCACTTCCCCTTGTGGTAGCAAGAAGGCCTCACCAGCCCCAGCCATATACACTTAGACAAATTCTGAAAGGAGAGAGGAAGGAAGGGAAATAGACATTTGTGCTTAAGTTGTATCTTCTGCGTTTCCCTGAAATCCTGCTAATCATTGTTTGGTAGTAAAGTAAACAATGCATAATGTAGTGACTTTATAATTCTTTTGATAGAAAAAAAGATAGGTGTTTAAAAAGATGCTCTATTTGTTCATTTACATCTCTGAACATATGGGCTCATTTTTCAAAGACCATTTTTGTCCTTAAAATCCAGAAGGAAATGTTTAAATATACAAAAAAACACAGGAAAGAATCCACCTTCGAAAACAACATATTGTCAAAACTAAAGGAATACTTTTGTCGTAACATTTTGCAATAGTTTTGTGGGGTGTTTTGGTTTTTTTTTGCTAAATGTATTATAATTAGGACAATCAACCAAGAAAAAACTAATTTCACTTTGAATTGTAAAAATAATAAAAATTTTGTATTCAGCAGAGAAATTTTTATTGTGAATATCCTTTCCCCCCCAAAAAAGGGTGTTTTTTTGATTAGGTGAAACCACCCCATTGCACAGTAGTTTCCCCCCCAAAGAACTGAAACGATCATTCTTACTCTCACTAATGCTTCCAGGGAATGGAGGACATCCTTCGCTGCTTCAGCAAAGAAGGCGATGCTGAAATGACCCGCCAGATCGAATTTATCATCAAGCAGCTCAATTCAGGTCCGTTTAATGTAAGAATTATCATCTATCTTTTGGCTCTTTCACATATCCCAGAAAGATAGTTGGGCTTTCTTAGAGGGGCTTTTCATATCTTGGAATTCTTTCAGGAGGCCTTAGAGGAAGGGGGGAAACCCACATGACCTCGCCAACAGAAGTTCAGATCATCCCAACATCAGCAGTCACTCATCACACCTTAGGCTGCTAGTCAACAAAAAGAATCAGAAGCAATTACAGAAACCCTTCTCCACCTCCCCCTCCACCTCCTGAGGGTGGCTCCTTGGCTTCCCAGGGTCAGATGATAAAAATAGATGCCAGTCTTTCTCACACCACTGTAGAAAATGTCATCATCCTCCCACATTTACTTCCCAAAAATTTCTGTTGACAACTGGTGGCATGGGAAGGTGGGATCCCCATTCTACCCAGCCTCCTCCATTACCATGACAGCCCACCTCCCATAATAAGCAGCAAAGGAAGGTGCAGGAAGCCTTGGATGGAACTGAGGTGGTGGGAAAACTGTCAGCTCTTTCTGTGGACTCCTGCTGCCTTGTTCGTGACTCATACTCAGGCCAGAGGCACCTGGCACTGCCAGCATCCAGGGCCAAGTTTGTCGCTTCTGTCTTTGTACATGACCTTCCCAACACCCAGCAGTCCACACCACTGTAAGTCCAAAGACCCTGTTCAGCACATGAATGAAGGTAAAAGGTAAATCTCCTGAGCTCCTCTGATCCCAAGTCAGCAGCTTGACTAAGGCCAAGCAAAAGGCAGACGCAAGAAGCCCTTTACCGGGTGGAGCCCACAGGGGGCTCTTCTCACCCATGCAGTCACCTGGGGAGACTTGAGAATCCCCAAGGCAGTGCCAGTACCAATTAAATCGGGATCCCTGGGGAAACCCCAGGTGCATATAGTGATTGCACTGTGCGGCCAGGGTGGCACATCCCTGCCTCAGGCAGACGCAGAAGCAGCGGGACAGAATGAGAACATAGGGGGCGCCTGCTCAACAGAAGGCAGCTGGGAGGCCACCAGAGAGGTTGAAACCCTGGCTCCCTCTAGGCTGGAGCTCTGTTTCCATCTGAACATCCTCCTCACTGGTTTTTGTGGAGCAAGTGTGATTCATTCCAAATTCAGGTGGGCAAGAAATAGAACTTTATTTTCTGCAATAATGTCATTTCTGACTTTTAGCCTCATTCTGCTGGGCAGGCATATTTAAAAAATTAAATGAAACCTTGACCTCAGTCCTGGCTGAAGTTGCTCCCTGACCTTCTCTGTGGAGGTCACAGTTTGGGAAGGCAGCGGAACTTGGGAAAAGTCCTTTCCTGTCTGCTGCATGGTCATGAGCTGTGCTGAGCCCAGGAGTCCTCTGCTGCTCAGGGTCCTGGTTGTATTGGGTTGGGTTGCGACTCTTCTTCAAAGCTGACTCTGTGTTTCTGTCTCTCAAGACACGTGCACCTCCATTGCCTTGTCAGTCTTCCCTCCTCCTGTCAGCCAAGAAGCAGGATGAGGTCCCCTTGCTCTTTAGCCAAAAGAAAAAATACCTCTTTCTCATACATAAAATGGACCTTTGGACAAGCATGCTGAAGAATGTGAGGAAGGAGTGGCCAGTTTACATTTTTGTGGGAGTTTGCTTAGCAAGAAATTACCATGGGCAGAGCTAATACCCGATAACCTTTTACACTCAGGAAAGACTTGAGATATACCTGCTTAGCTCAGCTAGAAAAACTACAAGTTTTTCTCTTTATCCATAGGATAGTGGCAGAATGCTAGAGATGATTACCCAGTAGTCTGCTACTTTGAAACAAAATTAAAAAGTCACTGAACATTTGGAAGGAGGAGCAGGCATGCGCAGATGCCTTAGCATACGTGTCTCTAGTATCAAGTCAGAAGGAATCTACAAGCATCACAGTGAAACCTAGAGAAGGGAGAGCTAGAGTTTCCATCCAGTCCTGTCTTCACCCTTCAGTGGAAGTTAATAGGAGGGTGCAAATTAATTGTAGTTCACTAGTTTGGGATACATGAAAATGGCACAATCCGTATTGGCTGTCTTGCCTTATTTTAGTGAACACAAAGGCATGTATGCGGGTTTTCATACATTCAAGCCCATCTCAATCCTCTAGCACTATTTTTCTAATAAAGTTTAAAGGTCTTCAAGTATAAAATTTCCAGTATATTTTAGGAACCTAACCCCACAGGTGGGAAAGGCCCACTCTGGTGAAGCCTAAGGGAAAACGCCAGCCTGTTGATGTGACAGGCAGAGGTGAGCACCTATCACAGCAGCAGGGAGCTAGGAGACACTCAGCTAGGGGACCAGCAGATCCTGGCCAGGCCCCAAACAGAAGACAGGGAGACTTGGTGGGTCACTGGACAGGAACAAGGCAGAGCCTGCTTTACCAGCTGGCCCCTTAGGAAAGGAGGGGTACTGGCAACTCCAAACACTGTGTTAGTTATTGGAGTGAGGGCACCTTGTGAGGTGCCACAAGGCAGGGAACAGTGTGGGGAAAGGACTGATGTCCTCTTCATCCTAGAGAGAGGAGCTGAGGTTTGTAAGGTATTTCAGTTCGCAGGACTGGATTGTTCCGGGGATAGAGGAGGGGAGTGTGGTTGGGCTAGCCTGCGGCCTCACAAAATGAAAAAAAAAGAAAAGGCATTTCTGTATTTGAAAAAGAAAAGTTTATAATTGATGAATATAGCATTTGGAAAGCCACTTACTGGAAGTGAAACAGTAGTGCTGTTCATGGGCCAGCAGGGAGTAGAAGTTAGGTAATTAGGTTTCAGCCCAAGTGCAGAATGACATAACATCCTCCTGTTGGCAAAGTAGCTTTTTTGACTGAACAGCGCTCCATGACAATGGTGCCCACAGTAGGCGTGGAGGCGTGCAGGCCCCTGTGAGGTGGGGTCACAAGTTGGTGGCCTGTGGGCCTCGGTCCAGCCAAGTGGAGGCCTTCCCTTTGGAGTGAGGCTGTGTTGAGGACAGCAGGTGTCCTGGGGTTCTACGTGTTCCCTTGTAGGAAATGATTTTGCGGTTTGAATTTAGGTGAATCTGCTACCTTTCCAAGTGTGCTGGGCAGTCTCTTCAAGAATAGCCTCTGGTTCCTTCTTTGCTGCATCTCCTGTTGACTTCCTTTCCTCTTCCCTCAGGCTTTCTTTACTTTCATGTCATCTGTTCAAGACATGAGGGATAATAAGGTAAATGCAGAAAGGATATAGGGGTAAGTAAGTCAGGTGCTGTCCCCAGGGACTCACATCCAGTACGTGAGTGAGAAAGATGCCCAGACAAGTCTTAGCCACTCATTCATTAGTAAAGATTGATCATCCAAAAGTAGTGAGGACTATCAGAGCATTCTAGATAAAACGCCAAGTGTGCTCAGGGGAGAGAGAGGTGACTGCTCAGTGAGGCATCGGGGAAGGCTTCGTGGAGGAGAAGGTAACCACCTTCTGTGTAATGCCTGCCTGGGCCAGGTCGGGTAGTTCCGGTGTGTTATAAAATCCCCCAGCAACCCTAGGAAGGAGGCGGTATGAGACCCATTTTACAGATGAAGAAATAGGCTCATTCTTTCTCTGACTCCATTGTGCTACTAATTTATTCCTCCTTTGTAAACTCTGTAAGATGTAGCAGGAAATCACAGGAGCCTTCAGGAACCCCTGCTGCCACGATCATGGCTCCTGACCTCTGAGGAAAAATCATGGGATTTAGAAATGAACTCGGTTTGAATCTCATCTCTGTCAATCATGGGAGTGTGACACAAGCAAGTCCCTTATTCTGTCTGTGCTTCCATTTGTTCTTTGCTATAAAATGGAAACGAGTCAATGAAATCTTTGTAAGAGTTAAGTGAAATAACATGTGACAGCATTTAGCACAGTACCCAGCAATAATACGAGTTTATTTTCATTCCCCTAAATTCCTCTCAAGTTATATGTTGGCTCTAATTTTTCTCATGCTACTACTAATGTGTCCTGATAAAAATGGGAAATACATTTAAAATTGCCTCATATGATATTAAACTATGGCTGAAATGGTACAAGGAACATGATTGTTTGAATGTAACCTCTCACTAAGGTGTTTACAAGCTGTGCAGCACCTGAAGGATTTTGTTGATTAAGGCTCCCGACTGTTTGCGGTTATTCACTGATTTTTTTCTTTACAGAAGAGCTACTGGATGGTGTTCTTGAATCGGATGATGAAGAGGAGGAAGATGATGAAGTAAGTTGGAGGCTCTTGACACCGCTAAAAACTTGTGCCCAACTCTTCTGAATCTCTTCCTGGGCTTGAAAAGTTAGCCCAGAAGTGGAGGTCTTGATCCCTGCTCACACTGCCTCTCACAGTTCTAGAGCTCAACTGGGTGGTTTTCTGCTGGTGTCACTTGGGGAGTCATGTGGCTGCTCTCTGTGTCCAACTGGCCTCACAGCCTCCATGCGGCCTCTCATCACTCAGTGGTCCAGCCTAGACTTCCCTATTGGTGGGCAGCTGGGTTCCAGGAGGAATGGAGTGAAAGCTGCTGCTCCTCTTCTGGGCTCCGCAGTCTTGGAACATCACTTCTGCTGCATTATGCCCAGAGCTGACTGGGGAATGGCAGCTAGAGCTCCAACAGGAGGGCTCCGGGGGAGGGGACTTACGGGCCTGTGTCTGAACACTGTCTGTCTGTCGGCTTTGGGCAGGTTTGCAGAGGCCGCCTCGGAAGTGCTGCACTCAGCAGCGCTCAGGTTTGATGGAAGGTTGGAAAGGAGCAGTTCTTCAACACGTGCTCTTTGCTTTGAAGAAGGGGCGTGAGCTTCCACTTGTGTTCCTCTTGGGTGGGAAGATTGGGCACAGAGGTTCTCAGTGAGAATCTCTAGGCTGAAAAGTCTGGGCTTGGTTCAGAGCTGGCGGAACCAACCACTTGACTGTCGCTTGCATTCTTTTGACATGGCTTTCCTCAGCCGCTTTACCTGGTTTTTTCATGTCGAAGTTCAGAAGAAATGTGGGTGAGTCTCCTGACAGGCTATATAAAGAATGGTGGCTCATGGGCTATAGATAGGGCTTCAGATGAGAAGCTCTTTAGTTGGATTTCCTTCAGACCTAGAAAAGACATGTGTTGTGCTCTCGTTCTCCGTAGTAATCAAATGTTTTGCATTCCTTCTGTTTTTGTGGGGAGCAGTTAACTCCTGAAGCGAATACTGGAAGGCATATTTTTTGGGGGAGTTGTGGTCTGTCAGTTTAAACGGTGTGTAAAAGCTAGCTTCTTGTTCACTGATGGCATCAGATAGGGGAGAGAGTTCATTCGAGAGCCCTCTGACGAAGAGGACGGCCGTGCCCAGATCTACGCGATACTGTCCCCGTGCTGGCTGCTGCCCACCTGCCATTTTCTTCAGGGGCTGTAGGTGGCACCAGCAGGTGTTCTTGGTCACTGAGCCGTGTCAGAGCCGTTCTGGACCTCACACGGGTCTGGGCCAGCACCTTTTCCAGGCCTCTTCCCTTAGAAAGGTGGATCCAGAGAGGGGAGGTCACACAGAAGGTTGGTGGCAGTAAAATCTGGTTTAGAACAAGGATCAGCAGACTTTTTCTGTCAAGAGGAAGATAGTAAATGATTTGACTTTGCGGGTCAGACCATCTTCTGGTTCAGCCACTCAAATTCTGCCATCGTAATGCAGGGTAGCTGTCAACAAAACATCACTGGATGACTGTGGCAATGTTCCCATAAAACTTTATTTATGGATACTAAAATTTGAATTTCATGATTTGTGTCAGTAAATTTTTTTCAAATATTTAAAAATGTAAAAACTATTTTATCTTTCCGGCCTTATAAAAACAGGCACCTTCACCCACGGACCATTGTTTGCCAACCCCCAGAGAGAAGCCAGCTCCCTGACTCAGTCCGTCTTCTCAGGACTGCAGTAAGATACCACCTGTGTGCCTGACCCATCCATACTGTCTTAAGTTGTATTTTAAGTTAATATCTTAATTATTTAATTCCATTAATATTTTGTCATTGTGCCCAAAAGTTCCCTTCAATATCTATTTTTTTCCTTTGGGTTTTGTATTTGCTTTGGGATTTTTATTTTGTTTTGTTTAGTTGCTATTAATCCCTTTATTGTAAAGAAAGGGAAAATTCATTTGGTTCAACTATTCTGTTGATAGGAATTCAACTTCTGGAAACTTCCCTCTGGAAGCAATTATAGTCTACTATAAGTGAAGGAATATAGAGATCTTTCAGTTTTCTGGGCCTTTGCTACTCTGTGCAGACTTTTAAGAGGGTTAGTGTTTGTAACTACAATTTAAGAGGGTTATTGTTGTGTAACTACAATTTTCCGAAGATTCCTTGAAGGGGTTATTTGAGACATTATAAGGAAAGGGTCTGCCATTTCAGACCAAAACTTCAGACTTTGTAATGAACTCAGGTCAGCAGGTCGTGGTCTCTCCCTTCCTCATGATCCTGCCCGGACACTGCAGAGAATTATTAGCAAGGGCCACCTGGGGAAGACTGGGCATGCTGTGTATTTTATTGTCACCAAAGGCCTGTGTTACTTTAAAATTGCCTTTTAAAATTGGAAAGAAAAAAGAAAGTGAAAGATGCTTACACTGAAAGAAAATTTCCAAAAGTCATTTGAACAAGTCACACTGTTGTAATGTAGCTGTCACCTCCCAATGTAACAACTCTAAAGGAGACAGACAGCAAAATTATTTTCAGGGCTTTGGAGTCCTATGTCGCATTGCCTAACAATGTAAAACACTTTATTAATTCAGTATTTAAACCCAAAACGCAGATAATGGAGCCACTGTTTTCAGTGAGCTGCTCAGTACCTCTAAGGATGAATGGCTCCTTTGGGGTGGGGCCTGAGGCCGGGGTACATCGCTTTCACTTTCCCTTTCAGGGAGCTGAGGGCCGCGTGCTTGCAGCTTTGACTGCTGGCAACTCTCAATAAGAATACCACTGGATGCATAAATCTGATTTTTCTCTCTAATTCCTAAAAATGTAATGACTTGTTCCTGATGGGTTAACACTTAGTTATGTCTGAATAAACATACATTTATAAACTAAAATAAACAATTTGAAAGGTAGAGTTAGAAATGCTTTTTCCAACTTGTAGTTGTCTAGGATATAGTATCACAAGGAAAAAGGAAATTGCAAAATAATGTGAACATTTTGATTCAAACAAAAAAGAAACCAGACATACAAAACATATCCTCATAAACTATGTATGTGCTAATGTATGCACATAGTAGAAAGGTGTGGAAAGCTACACCCTCTTTGTTGACCCTGGAAACTGCAGGGGGGTTGGGGGCGTAGCTAGGGATAAGGAAGGGTGGGTGAGAGACCCGATCAGCAGGCAGATTCCCTTGAGAAATGAGAAGTGATTGGTGGACTGAGTCACTGGCTGAGCATTTTTGAAGACTGATGGGGCAAAAGCCAAACTGAGGGCCAGGTGGGAAGTGAGAGAGTGGAGCCAATGAGTATATACAGCTCTTCCCACAAATTTGGCTATGAGCAGAAGAGCATTGGATGGTGACTAAACAGGGCATTTTTGCTTTGTTTTAATTTGGCGGAGACCTAAGCATATTAAAATGCTGATGGGAAGGATCCAGTTGAAAGGGACAAGTTGAACATCCAGACAGGAAGAGAGAGAGGATGGCATTAGAAGGACAGGTGTTTTCATTATTTCTAAACTGCTTCTTACACTCTTTTGCCCAGAAGACCCCAGACTCATTTAAACCTCCAGAGAATAAAACCATCATTAGATAAGCTTGGACAGTATACACAAGATGACAGACAAATGACTACAACTTAAGGGTTCAAACACATCCCACCTCATGTTAAAGAAATGTATTATCTAGTACAATTTACTTTTATATTTAACATATGTAATGTGTTCACCAAGGGCTAATGATAAATCACAAGGCTCAGGAAGCTGCTCCCAGTGTTCTCACCACAAGTGGCTCATGTTTCCTTATTACAGGTTCAAGGTGAGGTTCCTTGTGTCTAGGTTGTAGAGTGGCTCTGTAAGTGGAGATGAAAGGCCTTCCTGTGCTATTCTAGAAGACTAATCTTAAGACAAATATTCTCCCATCTTAACAAAATAGATGTAAGTGCCAGGTGAGACCAGCCGTGGATGTTTACTTGCTGGTTGTCATGTAGGTGACAATCGTATGCCCAGCAATTTCCTTCTCAATAGACTTGTCAATCTAAGAGTTATTTACTCAGCTATTTGAGGGTCTTGAAATAACATTGTTTTAGGAAATAACAGGGAAGGGATTCAAAAGAAATCTAAAGGAGTGTCTACGGTTTAAAAAAGCTCCAAGAATTTAAAATCCATCCAAATCAGTGAGATTATGATCCTGATACTAGCAGCTCATACTTGTGAAGCATCACCATGTGCCAGGCGCTATTCTAAGCACCTTACGTATATTCACTCATCTGCTCTTTACTGTCCTGCAGTTTAGGTACTGTTGCTATTGCCATTTCACAGATGAGGAAACAGAAAATATGTCACTTGTGGAGTTCACACAGCTATTAGTTATGGAGCTGGAATCAAACCCTGGTGTTCTAACTCAACAGTTCCATGCTCTTAACCACTACACAATTTTGTCTCTTGTGAGACATATTTAAACACATATGTAAACAGCAAACAATAGAAAATAAATATACAATTTACAGGTTCATGATTATGATAGAAACAGGAAGTGCCAGAACTTCTGAGTACTAAAGAAGAATGAAAGATGGCTGTCTCAACAGGACGTTGCCTAGCTTAGGGTGAAAGAGAAGGGTGTGGTCAGGAAAGCCGGGGAGACATCTTCTAGGAGAGACAACATAGGCTTCTCCTTCGCCTCTCCCTTGGCCCACATCAACCACCCTCATCCCCCATATTAACAACCTAGTGTGTGCACGTGCTTTCATGCTTTTCTTGTAAGATACACACAGAGAGAACACATATATGTACCCATATCCATGTATGGTTTTGTCAATATTTGTTTCACAAAATGAGATGACATAGACACAAATACAAACATATATATAAAATATTGCCTTTTTCTCATGTTAGTATTGTCTGGAAATCCTTCCAAGTCAGCCAGGCATAGCAAATTGATTCTTCTTAATGCCACGGATGTACAATTTTCCAGATTTTTGCTACTTCAAATAGTGTTGCAGTGAACATCTTTGTAAATATATCTGTATTTACTGGTGCTTTCATTTACGTGGGCTTTTGTTGCTGGGTTGAAGTATATGTGTGTTTTTCATTGTAATAGGTCATTCCAGATTGCTTTTCCAACAGGCTAGAACAAGTCAGGTATTACTAGCCGAGCAGGAGAGGAGCCCTTGCCCTCCACGTCCACCAGTGATAGGTGCTATTACTCTTCTGATTTTTGCCAAGCTAATGGCCATAGCGTGCTATCTCAATGTTATTTTAATTTTTCATCTCCTTTGAGTAGTATGAGTGTCTTTTATGTTTATTTTATTGGATTTGCTGTGCTGTAATTTCCTATTCATACCCTTTCTCCCTTTTTTAAATTGAGTTTGTCTTTCCAAATCAATTCATATCAATTCTCTTTATAATACAGATATTGACTCTTTTTCTACCTTCATTACAAAAAATTTTAAAAGATTTATCTTTTATCCATTGACTTATTTTTATAGTACTTTGCCAAATCTTTTAAAAATTTTTTAAAGATATATTCTATCCTGAATAAGGTTTCTCTTAACCCTAAATTTTATATATAGTCTCTTAGATTTTCTTCTGACTTAATTTTTTTATTTAAATCTGAATTATTAAGTATTTTATACATAGAAAATAAAATATATACAATATTTACATAAGGTTTGAAGTAACTTCTCAAATTTTTATTTCAGGATATTTTTATACTCTTAAAAATTACTGAACTTCCAAAGAGCTTTTGTTTATGTGTATTTTGCCTATCAATATTTGTTAAATTATAAACAATTTAAACAGTTGGAATGTATTTATTAATTATTTCTAAAACGACAATTCATGAAATGTTAATAAAAATTAAAAAATTATTACATGTTAATATAGACATTTTTATTTTAAAAAATTTTCAAAAAATGTATTAAGGAGAATAGCATTGTATTTTATTTTTATAAGTAAATCTCTTCAGTGTCTGAATTAGTAAATACTGGATTCTTGGATCCACCTCTGGGTTCCTTTTATTGCAATATGTTGGGGTTTTTTGTTTTTTTTAACAGATTTTGATGAGCTTATCTCAGTTAAATGCTAAAATCAATACTGAATTCATATGTTCAGACATTTTTTTTTCACCACCACTGTTATGCAATATCAGTGATTTAAGGATGTAAAGAAAATACAGCCTCATATGTTTACGTAGTTGAATGAGATGAAGCATTTTAATAGCCTTTTGTGATAGAGCTATTTTTCTTTGATACTACTTCAAAACTGGACAAGTGATAGTTTATTAAAAGGTTAGTTGTAATATGGAATCAAAAACCATATCAATGAACCTTTTTTAATTCTGTTGAAATCCACCTATTTTGCATTTTTTAAATCTTATTTTTTGATTGTTCATTACCAATACAATTGATTTTAGTATATTGATCTTGTACCCCACCTTACTGAACTTGTTTATTAGCTCCAAGAGTTTTTGTTTCTTTGTTTTGTTTTGGTTTGGGTTGGTTTGGTGATGGATTCCTTAGGATATTCTCTATGAATAGACATAGTTTGACTTTTCCTTTCTAATCTATATGTCTTTTATATCCTTTTCTTGCGTAGTTGCCCTGGCTAGAACAAGTACAGGGTTGAACTGAAGTGGTGAGAGAGTGAACACCCTTGTCTTTTTCCTGATCTTAGAGGGAAGGTTTCCTGTCTTTCAGGGTCCAGTATGATGTTAGTTGTGGGTTCTTCATAGATGCTCATTATCAAGTTCAGAAAGTTCACTTCTGATTTTGTTAAGTATTGGATTTTGTCACATGCTTTTCCTACACCAATTAAGATGATAAGGTGAAGTTTATTTCTTTCATTCTGCTAATAGGGTATATTATGTTGATTGGTTTTCATTTTTAATCACCCTTTAATTTCTGAGATAAATCCTAATTGATCATGATTTATAATCTCTTTTATATGTTGCTGGATTTGTTTTGCTAGTATTTTGTTGAGGACTTTTGTATCTGTGTTCATAATAGATATCAGTCTATAGTTTGACTTCTCTTGTGATATCTTTCTCTGATCTTGATATCAGGGTAATACTGGCCTCATAATATAAGTTGGAAGGTGTTCCCTCTTCTATTTTTTGTAAGAGTTTGTGAAGGGTTAATCTTAATTCTTCTTTAAGTGTGTATTAGAATTCAGTAGTGCAGCCTTCACCAGTGAAGGGTTGATCTTGATTCTTCTTTAAATGTTTGTTAGAATTCACCAATGCCACCTTCTGGAACTGGAAAGTGTGGGGCTTTTTGTCTATTTTTTGTTTTTGTTACTAACTTGATCTCTTGACTTGTTCCATGTCTGTCTATTCTTTTAGAGTCCGTTTTTATAATATATGTCTTTCCAGGAATTTGTCCATTTCATCTAAAATGCTATTTTATTGGTGAACAATTGTTCATAGTATTACCTTATGATCCATTTATTTCCATAAAGTCAGTAGTATCCCATCATTCACTCCTGATTTTAGTAATTTGAGTCTTAGCTCTTTCTTGGTCAGTGCTATGACTGAATTGTGTCCCCTCAAATTCGTGTGTTGCAACCCTAACGCCCAATGTGGTTCTACTGGACATAGGGCTTAGAAGGAGGTAATTAAGGTTAAACAAAGGCGTAGAGTAGGGCCTGATCTGATAGGGTCAGTGTCCTTGTAAGAAGAGACTCTCAGAGCACTCTTTTCTCACCACCATGTGAGGCCACAGGGAAGGCAGCTGTCTGCAGGCCAGGGGGAGAGCCCACCTCAGGAAGTGAGCTGGCCTGCACCTTGATCTTGGACTTCTAGCCTCCAAAACTATGAGAAATAAATTTCTGTTGATTAAGCCACCCAGTCTGTGGTATTTGTTATGGCACCAGGAGCAGAGTAATACAGTCAGTCTCATTAAAGCTTCGTCAATTTTGTTGATCCTTCCAAGAATCAACTTTCAGTTTTATATTATTTTTCTCTATGGTTTTTCTATTCTGTATGTCATTTATCTTTGCTGTAATCTTTATTAATTCCTTCCTTCTCTTCTTTTTCCTTAAGGTATAAAGTTACATTTTGATCTGAGAATTTTCTTTTTTAATGTAGGCATTAAATATGTATAGCTATAAATTTCTGAGTACTGTTTTTGCTGCATCCTGTAAGTTTTAGAAGGTTGTATTTTCATTTTCATTCACCTCAAAATATTTTCTGCTTTGCCTGTGATTTCTTTGATCCTTGGTTATTTAAGTATGTGTTTCTAACTATAAATCCCCTGCGGACAAGGCTGTTGACACCGTGCACACTCTTGAGTCAAATAAAAGACAAGCCCTGTGAGATGGGTTTCCAGGAAATTTCCAGACAGGTCAAATAATGACAGTTTTCTGGGAGTGGGGCTTTGGGTGTCTCAAAATGTATCTGCTTGGCTACTGGTTTTCACTTGGATTGCAGGTCTGGTAGCTTTCAAAGAACTGGGGAGACAGAGGAATAGGGCAACTGAAATGCCACAACATTTACTGTTCTTACTGAGTGAGCAATTTCTTTTTTACTTGAATTTAACACTCCTGAGATTGTCACAAGCCTTTGGTTAATTTCCAGAGTTCTGGAAAAATTGATTTTGCCTGTATTTTCCTTGCTTTTCTAGAGGAATGGATTTTCAGAAAGTTCTTATTCACAATTCTTACTGGCATCTTACCTTTTTACGCTTTCAATAGCTCTTTTGCCCATGCATGATTTTGCATTTTCATGCATTGATCATTTGGAAAATAATGATTTTGAAGTTTTGCAGTTCCTCGAAATGTTGCCATATTTCATTATACAGCTGACCCTTAAACAATGCAGGGGTTGGGGCTCTGACTCTCCAAGCAGTGTCCACATATACTTTTGACTCCCCAAAAAACTTAACTACTTATAGCCTACTGTTTACTGGAAGCCTTACCAATAACATACAGTCGATTGACACGTATTTTGTATGTTATAGGTATTTTATGCTGTAGTCTTATAATAAAGTGAGTTAGAGAAAAGAAAATACTTTTCAAATCATCACAAACCTCCAAAAAAAATTCCAATTTATTTACTGAAAAACATCCATGTATAAGTGGTCCTGCACAGTTCAAACATGTGTTATTCAAGGGTCAACTGTAAAACATCCCCCAAAATTGTACCCCCTAATATTGCCACTGATCTCATCAGAAGAGTGTTTAGGTATTGGAAGCTATCAAGGTCATGGTAGCAGGTAGAAGTTTTCTTTAATTCTTGTTTTCTCTTGAGAGTTCAAATTTTATTTTTGACAATAGCTACTATCAATTGTTTTGCTTGAAATAACAGGGTCACCTCATTAATTTATTAGAAAATGTCTGCCAGATACACAAGCCTGAATAACCATAATTTGTCATTCTTTCAAGTAAAAATGGTGTTCCTTCAAAAGAGTGCCTAGTTTAGCTTGCAAGTCATCTTACTAATGCTTTTCCTAAACATAACCATCATGCACATCCCATTTTGTTACACAGAATGTTAAAAAGATGGGCCACAAGAATCAAGATTTAATCAGATTAATTCCTGCTGCTTCATCAAATGTATCCTCAAATGAAACTCTTACCATCTACCTATTTATCTATCATCTTTCCGTCTGTCTGTCTGTCTGCCTGCCTATGGTAGCAGTAGAGAATAGTGTGACTGCCAGTAGAGTTTGGCAGCCCTGCCCTGAGGGATGCTCAGGCTCTGGTGGTTTTATCCTCTGTTGCTTTTGAACCGCCTGGGCAGATGTCAGTACAGTTGTTCCCGGATAAACAATTGAAAGTCAGTAAAGGTTTTCAGAATGTTAAATCTTTCAGCCAGCATCACTTGTGTTTTATTGCCAACCATCTACATAAAAGATCTTTGATGTTACTGTGTGACTACAAGTCAGATAGCAAGTCCAGGCATACTTCTAAAAATGAAATATTAACTCAGCATTCATGTTTGCAGCTTAATCTTTGATTCAACAGGCTACAGTTTCATTGGGAAGTAGCAGGCTGTCATCTCTTTTGCTGACTTTCCATCCACAGTTTTCCATCCAGCAGGCGTTCAGCAGTGTCAGGCTCTACCAGGCTATTGTGTATGTTTCTTCGGCCAAAGCAATACAATAACTTACCCTTCAAGGTTCTTCAGTGGTTTTGTTTTGTGTTTTAAATAATTTTGTGAGGGGAAATAATTTTAGGTTTACAGGAAAAAAAAATACAGAGATTTGCTGTATGCCCATCACATAGCTTCGGTGGCTTTTTTAATTTGTTTGAAAAGTTAGACAAATTTTCAATTTTTTACTTTCAAGGAACTCATCATATTTTGGGAAAGATCACTTCCATCATAATCCCATTCCTTCACAGTCTGACCCAGCTTCTTTGGCATAGATTCCTCCCTTCCAGGAGTCAGAGAACCTTCTGATAAGTCAGTTTCACTTTTTCAGCATCTTTTCCTGTATACGGTATAGCTGTGGGTTGAGAAAGTAAGTCCTCTGATCTCCCTTTTTTAAGCCAATGATCCACCCTGAAAAATATAAGAAAAGGGTATTTTAAATAAGTTTTCTTTTATTTTAGAATAAATGATTCTTATGGTTTAAAATAGTATCATTTTTAGAGAAAATTTTTAAAATTAGAAGTTATAAAAAAAATATAAAAATACTATTGCAAAATAAGTATGTCTAGTCTACTTCCACATTTAAACAAGGAATACTTGAAGTTTTCAAAACAATAATTTATTGGATGATAATGAGGTTATATCAGTTATAATAAATATAACCAAAGATAGCTAGTAAAAACAGTGGAAGTCCTGAGAACAAACATAGTTAAGAAAATGCACAGTTATATCCTGAACCTTAGAAATTTCTAGAAATTTCTAGAATTTTCTAGAAAATGCAAGAATACTCAAACATACATTCTATTAGCTATCAGAGTGATATCATCACATGTCATGTAACCTCTAGAAAACTTCACTGTATCATAAAATAAGAGTGGAAAAGGCAAATATTAGTACTATTAAGATAATTATATATTTTTATATTTCATAAATTACAATAAAAATATAGGTAAATTATGTGTGATACATAATAATAGTAGTAGTACTAGTATATTCTTTTGAACATGGATTAGACTTCACAGAAGCCCTGGAAAGGTATTAAGGCCTCTGAAGTTTCCCCAGACCACACTTTGAGGACCCTTTGGTTTTACAGTTTTGTTTTGTACAGTCTTTATGAGTCTGGGTATTAAACTTTACTCTGACTTCATAAAATAGGTAAAGATGGTTTCATCTTTTCTTAAGGGCTAGAATTAGTTTTATTTTATCATTTCTTCTGCCCCCACCCATGCCATCTGGCCCAGTGGCATCTGCACATATTTCAAGGAAATGAAGCTGGTCAGGTGTAGGAAGGAGGGTGGCTGGTGGACGGGTCTGCAGTTGACCCCCTGCTAGCCTCCGTAAACTCATACCCAGTGACTATCTCATGTGGTTGACTATGATACAGGAAGGCTACACTTTTTCTTTTTCTTTTCTTTTTTTTTTTAATTATTTCCTGAAGTGTCAGGGTAGAAAGCAGAAAACTGGGTCTTGTTCCTTTCAAAAAAATTTCGTATTACTAATTTTCGAGGTAGAACTTAATATGATACTCTTTAGGTGCATTTTACCAGTACAAGGACCTCGGTAGAAACATTAGTATCCAAAGAAAGGCTGCTCAGGCAGTAGAACTGAATCAGTGGCTTTAATTACATCCCAGTATGTTCTGGCATCACTGAGGGATGATTAACAGCAAAGCACTTGGCACACAGCGTTCCTGGAGCACCGCCACGCCCCTGCTGAGTGCCCGCTCCCATTGTTATTGTTGCAATGATACGATCATCGTCATCAGTATCACTGCTGTCATCTCAGGCCCACATGCCTGGCCATAGGGAACCACGGTATTTCTGCAGTACTGGTATTTCTGCAGCTGGCACCCCATCTCCGGCTCTGGTGGAAGCATGGGTGCCATAGTGGAGCCTTAGATAAGGATATGGCCTTAGGTATTTTTAAATATAGTGTATTAATAGAAATTTTGAGGTTCAGTAAGGCTCACAGATCAAGAGAGGAGTGTCTTTGAAAAGATAATTTGCTGCTCATGGTTCCCAGGAGGCAGGCTCGTGCCACCTCCTGAGGGCGGGACACTGGGAAGCTCAGAGGGGGAGGGCAAGAAGGGAAATGTAGCCAAGAGCCTGTATGATGGTTTCCACAGGAAGGAATGGACAAGGCAGGATAAGCGGGCTTAGGATTGGCTGGTATGAGTAATTCCACTGAGCCCTGGGGCACAGGGGCCGCCTGGCACATAGCCCTTGCTGACAGGGCCTGTGGATAATGGCCCAGAGTGTAAGAGCCCTATACACCAGGTGATTGGGGTCGGCTCTGGATTGGCTGGTTTGCTCCCAAGTGAGTCGTTTATGCTCTCTAGGAATTGGCTGCCCTGGGAGGGGCAGTCCTGTCGGGGTCAGCAAGGCCCCAGATGTCGAGGCATCAGGATAGAGAAAATAACAGACACGGGTAATATACAAGACTTCACAGCCTGAGCTCTAGCCTCATCTCCCTCTTCTCCCTGAAATGGACTCTTGGGGTGTGAAGGGAACCTTCATTTCCCCCACTCCTTGTATCCCTCCTGGGTCCTGCTGCTGCCTGGGTTCCAGGGCTGCCACAGTTCCTGCCATCGTTGTATCTCATCATCCAGTCGTAAGACCCACACTGGTTCCCTTCATTCTCACCCCAACTGATAAAGGCCAGGTCTTTTCAAAGGAACTTTTATTGAAAAACTAAAGAACAAACTTAGCAGGTAAGCAAAGTGTTTGAGCTATTGAGTTCCAGGTCTCAGTTGCAGAGAGCCTGGGCACCAGGCTGAGGAATGGCACAAGCCAAGATCACAGGCCCAATGGCAGCCAAGGTTTGGCCTCAGCTTGAGGTTTGCAAAGGGAAGGGTGGGAGACAAAGCTGGAAAGGTGCTATGGCTAAAGAGCGAGACTGCAGAAAATTGATAACCACTGAAAATTGAGCCCAGGAAGGATATACGAACAGAGCCAGGCCTTAAGAAAATTAATCTGGTGTCAGTGTTCAAGTTAACTGGAGATCCAGAAAGCTCGAAATTACTTAACGGTATCTTCTGAGTGCTTACTGCGTGCAGGACTGGGCCAAGTGCTTTACAAGCTTTTTTCCATTTGTTTCACAAACTCCTTCTGTCAAGTAGATTCTATTATTAGACCTGGTTACTGGGTGAGAAAACTTGAGAGGTTCAGAAACTTGCTGAACGTTACATGGCCGTAACTGGTGGAACTGAGATTTAAACCCAGGATGGTGGGACAGCCTATGTGCCTGACCTCCGTGCTGCTGCCCCCTTCAGTGGGGAGGCCAAATGTGGCCAGTGGCAGGGAGGTGTTCTGCAGGGGGCACTCCTGAAAGCAAAACTGGCAGGAGTTGGTAACCAACAGAGCATGTCATTAGGAGCAGAAGGCTGGTAACCTTGGACCCCAGATAGCTGGGAGGATGGTGATGCCTTTAATGAAAGTGGGGAACAGCTTGGGGTGGGGGCATGTCACGTGTAGGGTGAAACTTGATTTTATATAGGGAGGTGCATGCCATTATCTGGCTAGAACAGAAAATGATGGAGCCTAGAACCAGTCAGTTTCTGACCAGGCTTCCCTCAAGTGACCTCACATGCCACAGACAAAGACATATTGTTGAGTGCCTGCGCCACAACTCCTTGCTCTTCAGCCACCTCGGGCCACATAACCTGTGAGACTGTGGACCCACCTGAAGCTGCCTCAGAGGGCATGTCTGAAGAGCTGGTGGCAAGCTGTTCTCCGTGAGCCACATCTGGTGGGTCACCTGCTGTGGCCAGCCTACCTGGCGTTGTGCAGATGTGCTTTTAATCCCTGTTACCTAATTAGCGAAGAGATGTCTGTGTTACTTGCAGGCTCTCTCCATTATTTAACCAAGTCAATAAAGAAACCGTTGTTTCCTAATGAAAGCTTTTGCCTTTTTCTGCTTCTAAATTCGTTTATTTCTATAACTCAGCTCCTGTGTTCTCAGACTATGGCTGGGATGAACCACCCAACAGGCTGACTCATGGCTACTGCCCTCATTTCCACTCTAGTTTCTATGGAAATAGACATCAGATTGCTCAAAACAAGGTGAAGGGCTTGGAGACACCTCGTGATTCTGAGGCATGTTTCCACAGAAACAGATGCAAAAGTCAGCCAATGCTCTACATTAAGTTTTTTTCTCTTATCTGATTTTTTACAAATACCAAAGCAATACATGGTATTTTCCTGTTATCACAGGTATTTGGAATATTAGTATGTTTTATGTAGTGAGGCATATGTATTACTAATTTTGACCTATTCAATAAATCCTTATAGTTAAGTACATTCTGCATTATTTCATGTCAAAATTTTTATTTAATAAATAAGCTTGTTTCTACTTACTCAATTGAATCACTATCACTTTGCATCCAAAGACAAAACAGTGTCTTAGGTCTGGAAATATGGCTAGAGAAGAAATAGTACTTGACCAGCCAACCCTTTGTATTCAGAATTCCAGGCATCTGTGCTCCAGGTAGTGACGGAGGCCCTGCTTGCATCACTGTGACTTGGTGCAAGGGCTCAGGGTCTGTTTGACTCAATGGAGACAGATAGTATATAAATTCTGTGTGCCAGAATGTATTAGTTATATAAAATATTGAATATATCTGCTACAGGAAACATAAAAATAGAATCAGTTTTCTATTAATAGTGAACAAACGAGCAATGCACCATACTCAACTACAAAACTGACAGGCATTCATTGAGCAGCTGTGAGGCATGGTGTATTAATTAAGCTATGATCTGATGCCGAAAGTAGTCAAAGAGATGTAAGTCAAATCTTTAAAGGAAAAAGTAGAGGGAGTTCACTTGAAATAGAAGAAAACAGAAGCAAAGTGAAAGTTAACGTTGCCATGTGGGAGACAAGCTACAGATAATTAGTTATGTAATTCCTCCAGCAGCTGATTGCCTGCTGCTTTTTCGTTTATTTTGAAATTATCTTCTGTGATTGATTCTTTTTTCACCACTGCTATTTAGTCGCACTGCCTTTAGTCTCCAGTAGAGAACTCTTAAGTGCCACTAGAGCAGTCTGGTGTCTTCTTTGTTCCTCAGGGAACCCCCACAGGGGGGCACACACTGGTTGTTGGATAGGGATTCACTAATTTAGTAAATTCCCACAGAAGAATGTTGGGCAGGAACTCTGACAGTTTCTCTCTGTGGAGAATTCCTCCCAAGCAATGTAACTGGGCACATTCATCTATCCAAGCCCCAGAGAATTTCCACAAAGCGCACACGCCTGTGTAACCCCCACCCAGCTCACTGGAACCTGCCTCTCAGAAGCCCTTCACTAATTCTTGCCGTTTTTGAAATTTAGAGAGACGGGATCATACAGTGTGATGTGCCCTGAGTCTGGCTCATTGCTCCATGTTACATCTGCGAGGGCACCACTTAGCCTTTGCTAACTGATACAAACCACCCCACATCTTTAGTGGCTTCAAAAAACAAGTCTTTCCTCCCGATTCTGTGTGTTAGCTGGGCAGGGCCTCAGCTGGTTTACCTGGACTCAGTCCTGTGGCTGCATTTGGCTGGAGGTCTCCCTCACCGTCAGGCAGCTGGTGTAGTTTTCCACGTGGCCTCTGACCTCCAGTGAGCTTGCTGGGCTTCTTCACAGCACAGTCTTGGCCGAGGTCTGAGAGGGTGAAGGCAGAAGCTGCCAGGCCTCTTGATGCTAAGGCCCTGGAACGCTCAGAGCCTCACTTCTGCCACATCCTACTTTGACCTCTAAAGTCATGGCAGCCCAGACTAAAGGGCTGAGGGAAATAGACTGCACTTCCACATGGGAGGGCTGGCAGAGCAAACCTCCGAGGGGTGGGCTTGCCTCGGTCGGGTGAGCTGGTGCCAGACCATCACCACAGTGAGATTTTTCTCAGAACAAATCATTTTAAGATAGCCTTTGTATACAAGACAAAATAATTGTGGTTGCAAAGCAAATAGACAATAAATTAAGAAATAAGTTATTTCCAATTGAATTTAGAGCATTAGCAATCTAAGTTGACATTACCATCTAAACCTCACTGTTGGGAAAAGCCAACTGCCTAATTTCAGTCTCAGTCTCATACTGTCCTAGCCTAACTCAGTTCTTCATTCAAAACTTACTTTTTTCTAACAACCAGATAGCAGTGTTGTAAGGAGTAAATTAATGTCTGTGAAGTCTGGGCGGAGTGCCTGCTGTACACAGTCTGTGTTCAGTAGTAGAAGCTTTTTGCTTTTCTGCTGCGTCGCCCAAGGTGATCAAGCTCTGGGAATCTTCAAAAAACTGACTTAGCAAGAATTCGTCTATTTAACATATTTATCAAGCACCTCTTACATGCCAGAGACTGTTCTGTATCCTTACTGATTTCTCTGTCCACTTTCTACCAGTTGCCGAGAGAGAAATCTAGAAATCTCTGATAGTAATTGTAGGTTCGCCTATTTTTCCTTTCCATTCATTCTGTCAGATTTGCTTCATTTCTCTCAGAGTTATTTTGGCTTAAGCATATATATTTGTAATTGTTTTATCATCCCACATACAGGTGTTGACCCTTTTAATATTATGAAATATTCTCTTTGTCTTTAGTAATGTTCCTAGTATATTTCATCTGTTATTAATATAACCACCCCAGCTCTCTTATGCCTACTGTTTAGATGGCGTATCTTTTCCCATTCTTTTACTTTCAACCTATCTGTGTCTTTGAATTTAAAGTGCTTCCACTCTAGACCAGATATAGCTGGATTCTGCTCCTTTATCCAATCTGACAATCTCTGTCTTTGTGTTTACTTAGTGCATTCATATTTTTAAAGTTTTATTGAGGTATAATTTACGTACCATACAATTCATCTATTTTAAGTGTACAATGATTTATAGTAAAAAAATGTATGGAGTTGCACTTCAATCCCCACAATTCAATTTTTGAATAAATATTTCCATCACCCCAAAAGGTCCTTTATGCCTGTTTGTACTGAATCCCTGTCCACCTCTGTGCAAGCTCCCAGCAACTACTAATCTGCTTTCGGTCTCTGTACATTTGCTTTTTCTGGACATTTCATGTGGTATGTAGCCTTTTGCATCTGGTGGCATTCATTTAATGTTTTTGAGGTTTAACCGTATTACAGAATGTAGCAGCAGGTCATTTCTTTTCACTGCTGAATAGTATTCCATCGTGTAGATATACCACTGTTTGTCTATTCACCGGTCAGTAGACATTTGCATCATTTCCACTTTTTTGTCTCTTATGTGTAATGCTGCTGTGAACATTTGAGTACCAGTCTTTGTGTGGTCCTGTTTTCATTTCTCTTGGATAGTTACCCAGGAGTGGAATTTCTGGGTCATATGGCATAAACATAGAATTTTAAAGGAATGGACAGACTGTTTTCTGAAGTGCCTGAACCCATTTTTACATTCCCACCAGCTGTTTATGAGGGTTTCAGTTTCTCCACATCCTCACCAATGTTTGTTATTATCTTTTATAGCCATCCTTTAGTGTGAAGTGATATTACATTGTGTTATTTTATACATGTTTTTATTATTTAGAAACATACATTTATATTAGACATTGTGTTTTTAATTTGTATTTCGTTAATAACTAATGATGTTGAGCATCTTTTCATACGCTTACTAGCTGTATTAGATTCCTAGGGCTCCTATAACAAAGGACTACAACCTGGGTGGCATAAAACAACAGAAATTAATTGTCTAACAGTTCCAGAAGCTAGAAGTCCAAAATTAAGGTGTGGGCAGGGCCATGTTCTCTCAAGGCTTTAGGGGAGAATTTGTTCCATGCCTTTCTCTTAGCTCCTGATGTAGCTGGAAATCCCTGGCTTGCCGCTGCATGACTCCAATCCCTGCTGCCCTTGTCACATGGCCTTCTCACCTAGTGTGTCATTGCAACATCTTGGAAGGACACCAGCCATATTGGATTAAGGGCCAACCCTACTCTGGTATAACCTCATCTTAACTAATTGCATCTGCAACAACTCTATTTCCATGAAGGTCACATTCTGAGGGTGTTGAAGTGCCGGAGCTGGTATATTGAAATAAGACCATGCAGATTACAAGCTGCTGAATGAGGAGACACAAGCCACCACCCCAGGTCAGGAGGGAGCTCCCCCAGCATCTGACCTCCCACTCTGGAAAATGAGACCCACAGGGTCATTTGACTGAAGGCACAGTTTTAACGCATCCACCAAAACGAAGTAGAGTCACAAGATTTATTATTTAGAAATCCCAGAAGAGGATTGTGGGGAGCAAGGAGTAAGCCAGGGAAGGGCGGTCCTCTGTCCTATCCCAGATCGCGAGTGAGCAGGAGCCAGAACAGGGTGGGGAGCGGCACCTGTGACTTATAGGGGGGTGGGGGTGGAGGTCACTGACTTTTCATGGGCTTAACTCTTAAGTGGTTATTTTAAAAGATGCCCCAAGGAAAGCAAAGCAGGAACTTGTGGGGGCTTCCTAAATGCAAGTCCTTATCTAAATGGCCAGACTCGGATGTGAGCAGGGTTGTCATACTGCCATACCTAGGCAGCCAGCAACTCAGAAAAACAAGTTGTTTTTCTCATCACACTGAGGCATTGGGGGTTAGGAATTAAACATATCTTTTTGGGATACACAATTCAATCCATGCCACTAGACATTCATAGATCTTCTTTTTTTTCCTTGACTTCTTTTTAATTGGAATATAGTTGATATATAATATCAGTTTCAGATACCCAGAATAATGACTCAATAATTATGTACATTACTAAATGCTCGCCCAGTAAGTGTAGTTATCCCATGTTACCATATATCAAAATATTACAATATTACAGTTATATTCTCTGTTATACTTCCATTTCTATGACTAATTTATTTTATAATTTGAAGTTTATACTTCTTTAAGCCCTTCAACTATTTCACTCATTCCCCCACCACTCCCTATGGTAACCAACAGTCTGTTTCAGTATTTATGGGTCTATTTGTTTTTGTTTGTTTTGTTTTTTTAGATTCCATGTTTAAGTGAAATCATATTGTATTTGTCTTTATGTGACTTATTTTGCTTAACATGATACCCTCTAAGTCCATCCACATTGTTGCAAATGGCAAGATTTCCTTCTTTTTTATGACTGAGTAATATTCTATCTTTTATATGTACCACGTCTTCTTTATCCATTCATCTGTTGATGGGCTTGCATATCTTGACTTGGGTTGCTTGCGTATCTTGACTACTGTAAATAAAGGTTCCCCTTTCTCCACATCCTCACCAGCATTTGTTGTTTCTTGTCTTTTGGATGTTGGTCATCCCAACTGGTATGAGGTGATATCTCATTGTGGTTTTGATTTGCATTTCCCTAATAATTAGTGATGTGGAGCATCTTTTCATGGGTCTGTTGACCATCTGTATGTCTATTCTGGAAAAATGTCTATTCAGATCCTCTGCCCATTTTTTAATTGGATTATTTTGTCTTTCGGTGTTGAGTTGTATGAGTTCTTTATATATTTTGAATATTAGCCCCTTATCAATATATCATTTGCAAACCTATTCTCTCAGACAGTAGATTCCCTTTTTGTTTTGTTGATGGTTTCCTTTGCTACACAGAAGCATTTTAGTTCTATGTAGTCATTCGTTTATCTTCTTTGGTGAAATATGTATTCAAATATTTTGCCCATTTTAAAAATTGGTTTATTTGTCTTATTATTGAGCTGTGAGAGTTCTTTATATATTCTGGATATAAGTCCCTTTTCTGATATATGATTTGCAAATATTTTCTCCAAAATGTGTGGCTTGCCTTTTCAGTTTCTTAGTGGCATCATTTGAAGCACAGATTTTTTTTATTTTGATGAAGTCTAATTTATCTTTGTTTTTCTTATATGGTTTGTGCTTTTGTTGTTGTAGCTAAGAACTCTTTGTCCAAACCAGAGGTGATCAACTTGGGTACTACTGACATTTTTGGGCCAGATAATTCTTTGCTGTGGGGGCTATCCTGTGCACTGTAGAATGTTTCACAGTATCTCTGGCCTCTACCCATTAGATGTCAGTATTATACACCCCAGTTCAAAGTTGCAACAACCAAAAATGTTTCCAGACATTGCTAAACGTCCCCTGGGAGGCAAAATCATCTCCAGTTGAAACCACTGGCCTAAACCAATGCTGCAAAGATTTTCCCTCCAAGAGTTTTATAATTTTAGCTCTTACATTTAGATCTAGGCCATGTTTCATTAATTTTTGTGTATGGTGTGAGGTAAAGATCTAAATTTATTGTTTTGCATGTGAATATCCAGTTGCCTCAGGACCATTTGTTTAAAAGACTATGCTTTGACCCATTGAATTACTTTATCAAATTGCACCTCTGTAAAAATGTTAACTGACCATAAATATAAGTATTTATTTCTGGACTCTTTCTTGTTCAGTTGATACATATGTCTGTCTTTCTGCTAGTGCCACATGATCTTAATCACTGTACCTTTCTAGTAGGTTTTGAAATATGAGTCCTCCAATTTTATTCTTTTTCAAAATTGTTTTGTTTAATATTATTCACATTGAACGTAATTACTGATATGGTTGGATTTTAATTCTGCTGTTAGCTACCTGTTTTCATTTATGTCCTCTCTCTGTTCTGTTCTTCCTGCCTTCTTTTATATTAAACAAACACATGTATTGCCGCCTTTTGTATTGAACAAGTATTTTTTAGAGGACCATTTTAAATACTCTATAGCTTTCAAACTGCATTTGA